AAGTAGTTCCTATGTATTATGTAAGGAAGGAATTAATATATTTTTTCTTGATCGAATATATTATATTCCATTAAACATAATAGAAACAAAAGGAGATCTTTTTAAAAGCTGACTGTAATATAGACAAATTAATTCCCCGATCATGGGATATTCTAAATTATTAAAAAAATAAATAAATGTAAGAACAACTAAATGTCTTTAAAAAATAAAAGTTAATATATCAGCCAGGAAAAAAAATGTAGTAGACTTCCTAAATGCAATATCTTTAAATCGGAAGACATTAAGACATTCGGAAGTATACCGAAACTAATGAACTGTATTTTTGTTAATAATTGTCCGATTTTTATTGTTTTGTAGGTAATTTAGTAATCTTTCTAATTATCATGGATACAATCAAGAAAAAATGCATACTTTTTGAGTTATTCGCTAATAAAGTTTCTTTTCCTTCATAATTTTTTTTGCAGAAATTTCGGGCGGATAGGACTAGTTTTCGCATGTGAAGGAGAAGAATGTTTTCATAATGAGTGGTCAATCATTGGATTTGATGAAGAATTGACGAAGTTATGGCGTACCGACAAAAAAACGCCTTTAAGAAATAGTATATAGGATTGGTGAACTGATATTCTCCCTTAATATAAGTACTTTATAGATGTCACTCATTTGTCATTTGAGAGGACATTTCATTTAACAAATCAGAATTTTTAAGAGATCCTCTACCTGCTTAACCTCATAAGACCACTGAAGAATATAAAATTACTCCTTTATTCTGTATAGAAAGACTCCTATAGGAAATATATCGTCGTTATCCTGTTTCGTGAGGATCACAAGCTGCTTGGGAATACTTTTGAAGAAACACTAATTTTGTTTCTTCCATCTCGTAAGTTGGCTCTTGTAACGACAATCAAGGTGACATACTGCAACTTTGTTAAGACCAAATAAGCTTGATAGTTCTAAAGAGGAAATCGCAGGATAATTCATTCTCCATCGTACGATTTCCAAACATCAAAGCGCAAGCTTATTCGATACACGTACGTTTTAGACACAAAAATTATTAATTGACGAGGTAACCGTGGGTCCGATAATATACTCAGATTGTTCCCTATGCTCTGTCAACAAGCACCACACATTACCCGTTAAACATACACGAGCTCAACGCTATTGTTCTGGAAGTTACTTACTCTTCGTAAATTAACATTGCGTTCATTTGTGGACGGAACTTTCTTCACATTAAAAAAAAAACAGTGTATATTATTACACAATGATTTATTATTTCCGAATAGTTATAAATGTAACAATAGTGTTTTAGCCATCACTTTTCTAGGTTCTTTTCGGCAAAGTATGTTAGATAAATTCAATGGGCTTCGAAGGAGGAGAGTTTAGCCAAGTTTCATCGAAATAGGTTGATTTAGACACTACAATCAATTCGGCACAGGTTATTCGGCCGCCATCTTGAAAGAATAGTACTTTTCAGTGAAGTATGTTATATAAATAAATTAAAGGGTTTCCAGGAAAAGACTTCTGCAACAGTTGAAACACAGATGTTTCGGACGCCATCTTTAAAGGAAAGGATGGATGTTAATGCAGAGTTCCGAGAATCATCTTGGAGTGCCCTTTGACATTAATACCAAATATCAAAACAATTGATCCAATCGTCTTGGTGGAAAATTCGATTTTTTGATTCTACATATCTTGAAGTTTTGTAGGAGGTTAACTTTTTTTTTGCCTTGGTCGATTACAAAATTGAAATGGCGGGTTGAGTTAAATAAGCTACATTTTTTTTTTCATTTGTGAATAAAAATTAATAATGGAACAAAGGATTAGCGGAAAATTATATCGAGCTCACAAATGTTTGGCTATTATTGGGTTTAAGACATTAGCTATCAATGTAGGAAATAGTAATTAAAAAAATAGCATTTGATAACCTCAATATTGTTACATCACAAATAGTTAATGGTTTCCGCTTATGGCTGATGCAGTAACATTTGATGGCAATTTGCATAATGGCTCTGCTCATGGTTATGCAGTCATATTGACATTGCCGGTCAACTATTTCTCAATCATCTACGGCCAATTGTCAACACTTCTACATGTACCCGTTACTTCACAAATTAAATTCTATTTCCCAACTATTTTGTGACAGTTTCACAGAGAATATCTCTACGATGCCTCATATCTGCAGACACATTTCTTTATAATAGAGGGGAAAAACTCTAATAAAAATATTAAGATCTCACAGGTTTTTGTGTTTTTGAAGTGAAAACTTCATCAGGAGCGTTTTGCACTTATTTTGTGGAGAGTGAATTAGATTGAACCGTCAGATCTCAGATATGTTAAAGTCGGCTGGAGTCGTCTAATTGAAGTGTTTTTGCATATGGATTAAAATATCTCTAAAACTAAAAATCGGAACTGCATACTGTAAGCGAGGGAATTGTTCAGCATTTCATCCTCTCTGTAATGGGATATTATTCAAAATTGTATCTTATCGCGACGTCGTGTTAAGAGGCGAAAACGAATAATATTCTCGAAAACCAAATGATAACGAGTTTTATTGAAGATATGGTTTAAAATATCTCAGAAACTAAAAATTGGATCTGCATACTGTAAGCGATGGAAATGTTCAGCATTTCATCTTCTTTATAATGAGCCATGGTTTATAACTTATATTTCATATTATTAATCTCCCCTTGTTGATGTTTTAACTTCTATCGTGTGGTCTAAAGCACAGAGCTTAGGTTTATTTTTTATTACTCTCATGAAGTTTTTCAAAATATGTGTTAGTTATCCTCCAAAAATACGTTTAAACGTCAGACACCAGATGTCATGATCTTACCAGTCGATGGCATTTATATGAATATGATGACATCAAAACATAACATCTCATAAAGTATCAGTTAATAACCATCGAAATCTGTAAACGAGCTTTGAATCGTTTTGACAAAATGGCGATTTTTACTTGATTTATTCTGATGAGAACTTCTTTGTACCATGTAGTTCTTTAATTGAGGGGGAGGGATGATATTTTTACACATTTGATGACAAGGATATGTTAACTTTTAATTAACCTATTTTTAATGTAAAGAATTGAATAACCCAAATGCCATTTATGAAAGAAAGTAATTATTACTAGACAAATAAAAAAATACTCATCAATTATAATATTTAATGCCTTTTTTGAAAAGACTTTGCATTTAAATTAATTTTCATTCCAAGTAGTTATTGCATATTTCAATGGAATCGCTCCAGCGGAAGAATACAATACTTAAAAAAACCAATTAAATGCAATTTACCAATCTGCGAATATGTTAAATATAGGGATGCCACTACTTTTTCATGAAAGAAAAAACAACAGAAAATAGATTTTACCGATCTTTAAGTAATGATAAGACATTTTTAATTTATCAATGGCGGCGATAAGATTATTCGGTTCCATTGTAAATACACTAAGTTGTTTCTATCCATTTAAAGTTTATCACTTTTTTTCAATATTGTTAATTTGAAGACAAACAAAGACTCGATATATCCTTACATAAACTAATCAAGTATTTAGTATCTTTGAAAATACTCATTATGATAATAATTCTTTAAGCTATTAGTTTTCTGTAAAATATTCTAGGTGATAGATTAGTTAAGGTGATTTTGACGTCATGTATTCTAGAAATGAAAAGTGCATAAAACAAGGATCAACAGAGAAAGTTAATAAGAACTTCAGTAAAATAAAAATATCAGGTCGAACTAATATATATATTTTTTTGCGCACGGGATGTATTCCATAAAGAACATTTTCTATTTAACACTTATCACCGGTAATTTTCCCACCCTCAAGTACAATTTTCCGGTAATAACAGCTTCCATGACATGTTAAAACACTTTGCTTTCTCTAACATATCCCCTTAGTCACTATGATATGAATGTATTGTATTGCATGAATATCAAGTCTTATTAATGGATATTTTATTTGTGTTTCTTATCTGTATTTCTTTATTCGAATCCATCAATAGATAATATAGACAATTAGCAAATGTATTTACAAAAAGGTAGTTATGGAGAGGGTTACAGAAGTGACCAGCAGCGCTGCTTCCCAGTCGTAATTAAATCAGTTCATTCAGATAAGGAGGTCTCTCAATCAGCCCCTTTTCAGCCGCATCCTAATGGTTATGTCAAAAAATGTGACATGGTATTCTTTAACTCCGGTTATATTAGGTACAGATATATAGGTATAAATGAGGTGTTACAGAATAATTTTAATAAAATGACTTACCGAATATGGTAATATATCTAATGGGTTTTCAGCACATTTTTATGATTATCACGAAAAAAAGGCACTAACGATTTTAATTAAACTCTTTATATCGATTCATGATCCTTCAGAATGGATAAAATGGTGCCTGAGAACGTTGTGGCTCCCAGAGTGTCGAGTTTTGAACTTTGAACTGAGTTTCATTCCCATACGGGCCGGTTAACATTTATTTCTTGGTGGCCTAAATTAAATATTTTTTTAGTTATTGGTTTTATTATAAAAAAAAACACACCAAAATTAATTTTCCTGCTTTTCAGCGAATAATCCGGCCATGGTTTTTATAAACTTGTTTGTAGCTCTTGAAGTTTGCTTTAAACTTTTCAACTATTTCCATTTAATTATGGAACATCCTGTATAATGATGATATTGGTTAACAGCTGCTAAGCTGTATTATATAATCTTTACTATTACCTATATATGTTATATCTAGCATTATGTATGGTTAAATTTATTAATTTCATATAGCAAAGAAGCAGTAACCGGTTCTTGATATGATTGGCTTAGCCTTAATTTCATCATGTTATTGAAATACTGATCTTATAATAATTAACGCGATTCAAATTTAATAATGAATGGAAGCTATGGGATAAAATCTATTAATTTAATTTTTTTTTTTTTTTAATCGAATAATAATTTCTACAGACAATTTAGTTACAATTTGAAATATTTAATAACTAATTGAATTTAAAAAGTTTCTATTTACCTCTTGTAACCTCTGTGTTCTCTCTGGGCTAGGTTCTTCCTGGAGAGTTTCTACAGCTGCTTGAATGATTTTCTCTTCAGCAGCTTCTTCAAGTTTGAAGCCTTCTGCGAGTGTCTTCAGGGTGTACATCCTCACAACCTCGTTCTCGTAATCCTATTGGAAAAGTGGAATTAGTGTTTTATTGTTTTTTTTTTTTTAATAATTGAAAATCAAGTAAAATACCAGTAAAATATATTCAGTGTTCATCATTCATTATACAAATATACAAGGAAATTATTATAGAGTTACAAAATTTACATGAATATAAAGAGAGAAAAAAATCATAAGAATGTTATCAATGAAAAAAAGTATGTAGATATATGAGCCTTTCAGTAGACGGAATGACTAACTATAATTTTTCAGTAAAGTAATTTTAGTGATATATCTAGTTGGAAAATTTAAAATATATATGCAGACAGTAAGTAAGAAGATTCCAGACCAGAGGTGGGGAAATCCTACTCTGAGTACTGAATACCAAGTATTTTACTCAAATACTGACCTTTTTTGAATAGCAAATAATTGAATTATGACTTCAGTTGATGTCAAACGATTAACTGAAGTATTGATTTGAGTGAAATACTTGGTACTCGGTACTCAGTATTTGCCATTTCTGTCCCAGAGTAGGTGATTGCAATGTTGAACTGTGAATAAAGATATAATTTTCCTACTAGAAATATCACTTAAATTAATAATCCAAAAGGTTGAAATTGGAATTAGTAATACTGTCAACTGAAAGGCACATATTCTGAACAGTACAGCAATCTTTGGTAATACATACAACTGAAGAAGTTGTATGTTCAAAGTTCTATTTCAAAAATTATTTTAGCTTTGAATAGACCGGCGATTGTGGAAAGCCGTAAGGTTTTATAATATTACGCTACCAAGTAAGAACATTAACAATAAAGTCAATCATTGCTGAAATCTGTAGGTAATAATGCTAGCACAGCCTATAATAAAAATTGTTAACTCTTACTACAGATGCGCAGGGATAAACTTTTAATGGTTCTGTAGTGAGAAAACTCATTTTCTTATGGGCAACTATAAGTTGCCTTATCTAGATCAGGTTACATAGAAAATAAATTTATACAGATGAAAAGAACTAGGGATTTAAGATAAAACATATCAGGTTCCTTAAAATATTATGAAAATAACCAACAGAAAACCCAATTTTGTAATTTTTTTTTATTGTTTATTTATTTTATTTTCTAACATAAGTTTAGTATGTCAAACAATTAATCAGATACACTTTTCAGTGGACATTCAGATGTACTCATTATGTTCATAGAGTGATCTATTTAATTATATATATGCATTCATGATTCAAATTACATTATATGAAATCAATTATGCTTAAAAAGTATAATTGATATAACTGATGAATTAACCGTATATCTGCTTTTATTATTTTAACTATTTTATTTAGTAATATATAATTCTGTCACAATAAGGACAACAGTCACACTATAATAATATAGAGTAAATAATAATATGATTTTCATCAATAACTTCCTTATTAATTCTTTCCCGATCATATTTATGTCAGTTTTAGTATACGAAATTTTTATGCACTTATGATAGTTTCTTTTTATGTTTATAACGATTTACATAAGCGAACTCCTAAATCGATTTTTAATTTTGATGTCTCAAATGATTCTGTGAGATCATCAGAGTGTTTTGAAACAATTAAGCCTAAAACGCTGTCCTGTGATTGAATAAAATGTTTTTAATCGATTTGCTAAAAAGCGTGTAACGGTTTTTCGAGTGAACGGCTGGATCGATTTTTAAGTTTGATGACTTTTGAAAAATAAATAGAACTGACTACAGAAATCGGGAAATCTTGTCCATTCTAAAAGAATGTTCTTTCATAACTACTTAAACACCTTGGCAGGTTGTAAGGATAATTGATATCTACGCATTTTTAAATTTGGTGTAATAGTCGGGTGCTTTTCGCAACCCATTACTGCTCTAAGCAAATAGACTTTGTCCGGTGTATCGGTCATATCCATGACAGCATACTTGAGACTTGAGTTTTGTTCGGGTTTAGTAGACACCCGACTACTAGACCAAGTTTGAATATTTGTAGGTGTCAATTTCCTTATCAATCTACCAAGACGTTTGAGTAGATATGGAAGTATATACTCTTGGCCCTTGGGGTGTATAGAATTTCCCAATTTCTGTAGTCCTTTTTTAATTCAAAAATTTTTCTATTTCAAAATATAGACGTTAGTTCTTTAACTTAACAAAAATAATAAAATGGGAAAAAATCAAATAAATGATTCTTTTCCACATAGCTTACGAAGAAAGTTTTTGTGTTGATTTCAATCACCTGAGTCAACTTCCTTCCGGATCATGCATAAATATAAGAATGAATTACAATAATTATTTACAGATGACCAATTCCAACAGATCTGTGATATGTGTAAATTAAGAATATGAAATTTTCTTTAATCAATGAAGATATGTTAAGTAACTATAATGCAATAAGCTGTTTATGAATACGAAACTTTAAGCATCTAGAGGTCGTATGTTAATAATGAAAATAAGTCGCGTGTGTTAGAAACTTTTTTGTCGGAAATTTCAAACTGAAATAAAATAAACATTTCCCCAATACCTTTGTACCAATACCCTTATTCTGATTCCCCAGATCTAAGGGAAATTCCTAGCTAGGCTTACCAGTAAGTCTCTGATTTTTTTCTTCTAATTTTATTTGCTTTTTATTTTTTTGTTTTCTTTCTTCACATCTCTTTAGGTCCATTATTTCATATTACATCCTTTTTCCTTTTCTTCCAATCTATCTTGTAGATCTGTAGGAGTATATTCACGATTGCATATATTATATATTACACTACAACAATATTTACCATTTATTTACTTCAGTTTAGGAGCTTGTTACTTAGCTTACTCTGTTTATATTTTAATGTACTTACTGTTTATAATTTTAATAAGTTTATTCACATTGTTTGTAATTTTTTGTATAAATATTATGTAACTTTCACAATTCTCTATGTCTTTTTGTATTTTCTCCGTTCAAGACCTGCAAAGTCGGGTCAAAACGTTGGCTTGTAATAAAAAAGTTTTGCCACTATTTAGCCTATTTATGACCGCCACCTCGGACCATCTCTTTCCTTAATAATGCAATGGTCAACTATTAAATATTCACTTTGATTACGGTTCGATGGATATGGATGGACATGGGCTTACACAATTATTAGGTACTAAATGCCTATGGATTTTATAATCGAGAAATAAAACACATTTAATTAAATGAATAAAAATTTTACCAAGTATAAGAAAATAGTCTTAATACGGACTGCCCATTGAACAATTTAAAAAATATATATTAAATTAATTAACTAATATATATTTTTATACAGGAATGTTCTCAGGCATCCCTAAATTAGGGAATAGAACATTAACGGATTTTATTTTGGAGGGTTCCAGACCAATATGTTTTTTTATAAATATATATATATATATATATATATATATAATGATAATTACTTTAGAGTAAGAAAGAAAAAAAAACTACCTATGCCATAGGCGGGGAAACCTGAGTACTCTAGGCATAATAGGTATAATATTTAAAATAAAGTAGTAATAGATGGTTATATGTATCCAGTAAATATGCAATCTGATTAGGTAATTAGTTCATGTAATGCTCCTTCCTCTAGCAACAACTCAACAAAGGACATCTTACTCCATTCTTTCGCAGCTTCCTTTTTTTTTTCTGATTATAAAGATAAAAGAAACGTCTAGAAAACTCTATCAACCCAGTTGGAATATAAACAAAACCATTGTTATGAAATAATGTACCAATGATACTTACTATTCTGTGGTATAAAAAGGGAATGTAATTAGGATTTTTTTTTATTATATCCTGCTTTTTTTATGGAATTGGATTAAAATTGGGGACATTGAAAAAATATCGAAATATGGATATTCTAACAAAAACTAATCCATATATGTATGTTATAATTTTATTTCGAATTTCTCTACTTTCCTTTTTTTTTCTGTTGGCATTACCACGTAGATCATTTCCCACCTTACCGAGCCTAATTCATCTCTGCCCCGCCCACCTTATTAACCTCCTTGCCTTCATATGAAAAATAATATTGATTGGCCAGTTTTTGCAAGCAGTTCTTTATTTGTCTTCCTTCTCCAAGCGTTAATACTCTGATCCAATATCTGGTTTTCGTGCAGATGATTTTTCACTAAACTCTTCAATATTTTTTTTGTGGGCTGGTTAATGTTCAAATCACACCGCCAAATACAACAGGCATTATCACAGCTTTTTTAATATTTTTCGGTATTTTAATACCTTTGAAAATATAATACGGAAATAATAATATAATAATTAAGATATAGACGGTCAAAGATATAATACGAAAATAATAAACGCCCACGCTGAAACAAAGATCGTCATGCTGACGAATGTTGAAGCGCACCTGTATAGCACCTCTTAAATAAATCAAGTGGGTTGAAATTTCCCATGTTACATTTGATATATTTATAATTAATAAACTATTGTGTAATAATTTGCAGCGTTTTTAAATTTTAATAAAGTTATATATTTGTGCCAGAACTAGACAATGAACGAATACAGAATGGTAAGCAGTAATTAGTCTTTCATAATAACCACCATTTTTACTATATTTTGTAGTAAACAATCTTAATCAATAGCGGGTCCAGAATTTAATTTTGGAGGGGGGGAGGGGATTTCAGCCCAAATGCTTTTTTTCATTTAATAACGATAATTACTTTGAAAATAAAGAAAGAAACTAACTACCTATATGAAATGGTGTTTAAGCGATTCCTAAATTCCTTTTAAATGTAATTACACGAACAATAATACTTTAAGAGATAATTTTTTAATATTTTTTTTTCATAAACATTATATTATTTTACCATTTTTGGGAAAGGGGGGGGCTTCAGCCAGGAAAAAAAACATGAACTGCCTCCCTAAAATTTGAGATTTTACGTTTCAAGATACGAACTTGACAATCCACAGTTTTGTTTAAAAATTATATTTTCAATTTTTTACCGAGGACTATATTTTTTTCAGTTATATAATTCGTATTTATTCAGAAATATTACAATCTGTCACAATTAAGGAC